ATATTTTCTATTCAAGACCTGCGTTCTGTAGCAGCATGTAGCAACATATTTTCTATTCAAGACCTGCGTTCTATAGAACTCTGTAGCAACATATTTTCTATTCAAGACCTGCGTTCTATAGAACTCTGTAGCAGCATGTCGCAATATATTTTGTATAAACTCTGCACTAGCGTGTCACGACTTACTTGGTATTTATGACCTGCGTTCTATGAAGCTCTGTAGTTGTATACACAATAACACATAGCTCTAACAGTGTTAGAATTAGATCCTGTCATGTTAACCACACAATAACACATAGCTCTAACAGTGTTAGAATTAGATCCTGTCATGTTAACCACACAATAACACATAGCTCTAACAGTGTTAGAATTATATCCTGTCATGTTAACCATACAATAACACATAGTTCTAACTGTAATACTGGCGTGTTAATACATAATAAAAGACAATTCTTAACGGTGTTATAATTAAATCCTGTCATGTTAACCATACAATAATACATAGCTCTAACAGTGTTAGACTTAAATCCTGTCATGTTAACCACACAATAAGACATAGCTCTAACACTGTTAGAATTAAATACTGTCATGTTAACCACACAATAACACATAGCTCTAACAGTGTTAGAATTAAATACTGTCATGTTAACCACACAATAACACATAGCTCTAACAGTGTTAGAATTAAATACTGTCATGTTAACCACACAATAAGACATAGCTCTAACACTGTTAGAATTAAATACTGTCATGTTAAACACACAATAACACATAGCTCTAACAGTGTTAGAATTAAATCCTGTCATGTTAACCATACAATAACGCATAGCTCTAACAGTGTTAGAATTAAATACTGTCATGTTAACAATACAATAACACATAGCTCTAACAGTGTTAGAATTATATCCTGTCATGCTAACCACACAATAACACATAGTTCTAACAGTGTTAGAATTAGATCCTGTCATGTTAACCATACAATAACACATAGCTCTAACAGTGTTAGAATTAAATACTGTCATGTTAACCACACAATAACACATAGTTCTAACTGTAATACTGGCGTGTTAATATATAATAAAAGACAATTCTTAACGGTGTTATAATTAAATACTGTCATGTTAACCACACAATAACACATAGTTCTAACTGTAATACTGGCGTGTTAATAATATAATAAAACACAATTCTTAACGGTGAGAAGTAAATACTGTTACTTCAACAAACACAACGAGAGAATGTTCTAAGTCTGTCAGAAGTGAATGAGGTCGTCTTAACCACATAATAAGACAGCGTTAGTTAGCGCTACCATATTAACCATACGATAGAATGTCACTACTATCACGTCACAAACACTTCGAACCTATTATCCCAACCAGTAATTTTGTTAGAGGTGCATATCCATAATTTGACTTACAGTAAATATTGATTTTTACAAAGTTCTGAGGCTGATATAAGCATATTTATTAAGCCTTTAATAATTAGGCTTTATAAGAACAAACTTATTATTGTATTTACATCCAACAATGTTAATTATCTCATTTCTCCCTGTTTATAGAACAGTTTGTGTTAATTATATAATTCGATTTCAGTCTCAAACTACCAGAGCACGAGGAGCGGTGCTTTGATGAAAACAACGGTCTCGAATTAATTCTGTATAACACAACAGCTACGGCAACGTCAAGCTGTTTGGAAACGTACATGACCACTCAGATAATTTCGGAATGGCAAACAAAGAAAATTTTGGAGGAGTATGTTATTAAACCTGAGCTGCTAGATCCGGGACTTACAACATTTGATGGTAAGGTAAAGTCAGGGTTTGACTCTGAAAAAAATATTGAACTCTAAAGATTAGACTGTTTGGTGTTAAGTTAATATTGAATTTTTAGATTCTAGACGTTATACTGTTTGATGTCAAGTTGATCTTGAATTGTTAGACTTTAGAAGTTATATTGTTTGATGTTGAGATAACCTTGAAATGTGAAGTTCTTATAACTTTGTAGGTTTGATACGGTTATTATTAGAAGTCTGCAGTTCTAATACTATGGTTCTTACAACTCTGTATTTCTGATAAACTGGTTCTTACAACTCTGTAGGTTTGATACGGTTATTATTAGAAGTCTGCAGTTCTAATACTATGGTTCTTACAACTCTGTATTTCTGATAAACTGGTTCTTGTGATCGTTTATTTTTGATCCATTAATTCTTATAAACATATGACTTTGATATACTGGTTAGCATGCACGTATAATCTGATACGCTGGTTCTTCTCAGTTTGTATTTCTGATACACTGATTCTTATTATACTTACAAACAATAACTTAAATCTAAGTCTTTATTTATTGGTAAAAAAACAACAACGGTGTATCATCACATCAGACACATAAGAACCTGTACATTTGCTGAATCAGTTAGGTAGTGATCACGTATATTGGACAATTTAAACACAAATTTATATGTGGTTTATCAATATATAGGTCTTGACATACATGTAATCCTAGAACAATAAAAGCTCAGTGAGACCAGAACATAGGTCTTGACATACATGTAATCCTAGAACAATAAAAGCTCAGTAAGACCAGAACATAGGTCTTGACATACATGTAATCCTAGAACAATAAAAGCTCAGTGAGACCAGAATGTAGGTCTTGACATACATGTAATCCTAGAACAATAAAAGCTCAGTGAGACCA